GTTGATTGGGTCAGATTACCCACATCTCCTCACGCCTGTTGAACCAGTACGTCTAGGCCCACCAGGGGGCCCAGCAGCAGTTAAAACCCGCTTGGGATGGACTCTTCAAGGTCCTACACAGGAGGTCCGTCGTGAGCTTAGCACACACCAGTGCTTCTTTACCTCTGTACTACCTAACACAGACCTGTTTGCTCACGTTGAGCGATTGTGGCAGATGGATGTGATACCCTATCGCAACAACAAGATAGTGACACGATCCAAGCTAGACAAGGAAGCAATCAGTCTGTTGCAAGAGAACACTGTGAGAGTAGAAGTACAGGGCACAATGCGGTATGCCACACCGCTCCTCCGAATGCAGAGTATGCCTTGTTTGAACATGCCCAAGGAAGCCGTTCTCCCTCAGCTTAGGAGTGTTGAGAGGAGGCTGCTAAAAAACCCAGAGCAAGCATCTGCCTACCAGGCTGAGATTACTAGATTGAAGGAAGCAGGCTATGTGGCTAAGCTAGAACCAAGAGAAGCAGATTGCTCTAAAGAGTCTTGGTACATCCCCCACCATATGGTGCAGCACAATAATAAGAATAGAGTCGTCTACAACTGCTCCTTTCAATTTGAAGGCCACAGCCTTAATGACTTTCTCCTGCCAGGCCCCACATTAAGCCCATCACTGTTGGCAGTGCTGCTTCGATTCCGAGAGCACCCTGTTGCTATAAGTAGCGACATTCGCGGTATGTTTCACCAAGTCAGGCTGCTCCCTGGTGACATGCCCTTGCTTCGATTTTTGTGGCGAGACTTAAAGCCTGATCTACCCCCTGATGTGTACCAGTGGCAGGTACTTCCCTTTGGCACCACTTGCAGTCCCTGCTGTGCCTCATATGCCCTGCAGACTCACGTTATAAATCACAGTCAGCCGGGAGATCGATTTAGAGAGGTAATTGAGAAATCATTCTATGTCGACAATTGCCTCCACAGTCTTCATTCTCCTAAAGAGGCTAAAGACCTTGTTGACGGACTTTGTGCTCTCCTAGCCAGTGGAGGATTTGAGCTTCGACAATGGGCTAGCAATTGTCCGTCTGTGATTACTCACCTTCCTCCAGAATCCAGATCTAGTACCTGCGAACTGTGGCTCAGCCAAGACCAACAAGATGTCCATGAGTCCACGCTTGGACTGCAGTGGCATTGCCAAACTGATACACTGCGCTACAAACACAGAGCTAGGAGCTCTGCGCCAGTGACTATGCGCCACATATGCAGAGTACTGGCAAGTCAATACGATCCTCTCGGATATATCATCCCATACACTACCCGGGCTAAAATATTAGTACAGCGTTTGTGGGACAAGAAACGGGACTGGGACGACCCACACCTGCCAGAGGATCTACTCGCCTTATGGCATGAATGGGAGAAAGAACTGAGTGGACTAGAGGAGATATCCTTAGCCAGGTGCTACTCTCTGTCAGAAGTAAATCACGCATCTTGTAAATATGAGATCCACATCTTCTGTGATGCTTCAGAGCAGGCGTATGGGTCAGTGGCCTATCTGCGAATAGAGCACAAGGAGGGTGAAGTAGAAGTTGCCTTTGTTGCTGCCAGGTCCCGTGTTGCCCCCCGAAAGCAACAATCTATACCAAGACTAGAGTTGTGTGCTGCTTTAAGTGGAGCACAGCTATCCCAACTCCTGAACACTGAGCTTACAGTTCCTATCCACTCCACTACGCTCTGGTCTGACTCTACCACTGTGCTTATGTGGTTGACATCTAGCTCCTGTCGTTACAAGGTATTTGTGGGGACAAGAGTAGCTGAGATCCAAGAGATGACAGCATCCGCTGTCTGGCGCTATGTTCGATCATCAGACAACCCGGCCGATGACATCACTAGAGGCAAATCTCTCCAAAACCTCTCTAAAGACAGCAGGTGGAGTCAAGGACCATCTTTCCTTAAGCTCCCTTCTGAGAGCTGGCCAGAACAGCCGCATTTAGCAGCAGAAGGGCCGAACTCTTAACTAAGACAGTCATCCTTCTCTGTTTTAGTAACCACTACTGCTCCCTCAGCTAAACTGCAGCACTTCAACACCCTGACAGAGTGCCTGAATGCTTATGGACAGGAGCTTCATGGGGCGGCCTACACCTCCAGTGCTGAACTGCAAAAGGATGTTCAACGTGCAGTTCTCCGTCAAGCACAAGCCGAGTCCTTTCCAGAAGAGCTGAGACTATTGATGTCTGGAAAATCAGTATCATCGAAGAGCAGACTACTCACTCTTTCCCCAGAACTTGATGCTGCTACTGGACTTATTAGAGTAGGAGGCCGGCTACGGCATTGTGAGGTCTTGGAAGCAGATACTATACACCCAGTTGTCCTTGATCCTCGGCACCCAGTCACACTGTTAATCATAAGAGATTATGATGAGAGACTGCATCATCCAGGTACGGAGCGGTTGTTTGCAGAAATCAGAAGGACATACTGGATACTGAGAGGTCGTGAAGCCATCCGACGATACCAACACCAATGTACAGAGTGTAAGAAGTGGAGAGGACGCCCAGAGGTCCCATTGATGGCAGACTTACCCCTTACAAGACAAAGATACTTCCGTCCTGTCTTTTACTCGACTGGGATGGACTGTTTTGGCCCCTTCGTTATTAAGATTGGTCGACGTAATGAGAAGAGGTGGGGTATAGTCTTCAAGTGTATGACCACAAGGGCAGTCCATCTTGATCTTCTCTCTAGTATTGACTCTGACTCATTCTTGATGGCTCTAAGAAGGTTCATAGCCAGAAGAGGCAACCCCCATGAGTTACTGTGTGACCAAGGCACTAATTTTAAGGGAGGAGAACGTGAACTGAATGAGGCCTTTGCTGCTCTCCAAAGTGAGCTACAGAACCATCTCGCTGTTCAGAAAATTAAATTCACCTACAACCCACCAAGTGCCCCTCACTTTGGTGGATGCTGGGAGAGGGAGATCCGTTCGATCAAGGCAGCCCTAAAAGTGACAATTGGAGCCCAGACAGTTACTGAGGAAGTGTTAAGGACCGTCCTGATTGAGGTAGAAGGTATCCTCAACTCTAAGCCTTTAGGATATACCTCCTCTGACATCGCTGATCTCGACCCAATTACCCCGTTCTGCTTCTTAATTGGTCGCAGAGATGTGTCACTTCCCCAAGTCGTCTATGAGGACTCAGAAATCCTAAGTCGACGGCGGTGGCGTCACAGCCAACTACTTGCAGAGCACTTCTGGAGGCACTTTCTGAAATACTACCTACCTGACCTTCAGGCACGGCAGAAGTGGAAAACCGAGAAGAAGACATTAGAAATTGGGGATGTAGTCATGATAGTTGATCCTCAACTCCCTCGTGCACTTTGGCCAGTGGGCAGAATCACACAAGTTTTCCCTGGTGCAGATGGTCGAGTGCGGACTGCTAATGTGGAGGTTAAGGGCAAGACTTATACCCGTATTGTGGCTCGACTTATGCAGCTTCCAGCTCTACCTGAGGACGAATAATGCATGTCATGGATCTTTTGTCAGATGAGCGAATTCAGTTCTGAATTCAGGGGCGGCTGTGCAAAAGGACCGCTGATGTCTACGTCCCGGATGACACCAACCAATCAGTGCACAATGCAACGCAGTATCATCGAGGTGGGCTGAGCTAAGAACTAGTTGAGAGCGACAGTGCACACGGGAGATAACGCTGGCGATAACACCTGCTATCAAACTCACTCAGCAAAAAGAGACAAAACAGTCACTACTGGTATACTGTGCTACAGTGTGCGTGTCTTAAAAGTAAGTGATCACTATTTATAAAGTTATTATTGACAGAAGATCAGCTGTTGTTCACGTACCACCTGTAGCAGCTTGTTAGCCCAGTACTGCTTATATTACCAGCTTAAACTCGGGAATTACCAAGTGTTTAAGTACAAGTTGTAGTTATATGTTCATATGTACACATTTTAGTATGTTACTGATGTATGTTTATAGTATATCACGTATGTGCGCGTTATGCGACGATAATTGGCTACCTGCGGTGATCATTCAAGTTGGACATGCCCAGACAAAGACCCTGCCATCATGCGGGATTCATGTGCTCTTGGCGCCCTCTTTTGGACACTCGGAGAATTGCGCCTTTATTATCTACTTTGCCATTATTTTCTTTCTATACTTGTTGTATGCTGTTCAGTTATTAATGTTTATTGTGAAACATCTGTATTGATTATTGTTTATTGTTTATTTGTTTCAGAAACCACACATATGTTCCATTGTATACCTAGTGCTTCAGTAAATGAAAATCACATCTAATACCCTGAGTGCCTCTCTTCAATTAAGTAACCATCTCACTCAGTTCTGACCGACTGCCTATTGTGTTTCACACCCAAATTTAATACATCCACGAACCCCTCCATTTCACAGTCTGCCTGATCTTTATGTAGAAAAGTGTCCCCAAAATAATGGAGGAATCTCAGAATAAGGTCTACATACTGTACGCCACATGTCCTGCTGATTTCCTTTGTCTTATTGACAGATCTTTTGTAATATTGATGCGTCGTTGTTGTAAACTTTTAAAGCAAGTCATGAATGAATGATAGCAAAGTTGGGCTGTTATATTGACAACAATTCCACACCCACAAACATGAAGCGGCGCGAAACAAAACGTGATTGATTGATTATAGATTATAGATGGATAGCTTATAGATGTCCTTATTAATATACTGATGCTAACATCTGTTTCTCCTCATCTAAAAACAACTAAACCGAAATGTGGCGAGGCAGCGCGGTGGCGCAGTAGGTAGTGCTGTCGCCCCACAGCAAGAGGATCACTGGTTCAAGCCTCGGCTGGGTCAGTTGCTGTTTCTGTGTGGAGTTTGCATGTTCTCCCTGCGTTAGCGTGGGTTTCCTCAAAACAACACAAAATCTATGATCCTTGCATCCCTAATAATAATAATAATACAGTCATGATTTCATTATTGTCACTCAGAAATTCATTGATATTTTTCCTGATTTTTATCTTCTTCAGATTCTCAACAGTTCACTTTGGATCCAAACACAGTCAATGAAAGGCTGATCTTGTCTGAAGGAAACACAGCAGTGGAATGTAAAGGTTCAGTCCAGCCGTATCCTGATCATCCAGACAGATTTGATGGTTGGCATCAGGTGTTGTGTAGAGAGAGTGTGTGTGGACGCTCTTACTGGGAGCTGGAGTGGAGCGGTGTTGTGTATTTATCAGTGTAAACAGACTACAGACAAAACACCCATACAAACACAAAACATACAGACTAAACTCCCTAAACCTTCCGTCAGCTGCACTAGAATATATAAGAGCATCAGCAGGAAGGGTTCAGGTAATGAGTGTGGATTTGGGTTTAATGATCAGTCCTGGAGTTTGGAGTGCTCCACTCATAGTTTCTCATTCTGGCATAATAATATACAGACTAAACTCCCTAAACCCTCCGTCAGCTCCTCTAGAATAGGAGTGTATGTGGATCACAGTGCAGGAACTCTGTCCTTCTACAGCGTCTCTGACACAACAATGAGCCTCATACACACACTCCACACCACATTCACACACACACTCTTCCTGGATTCTATGTTTATTCACAGGTGAGGATCTGTGATCTGACAGTGTAGATGATGCAGATCCTCTGTGTACAATAATGTGGAAATATTCTCCAAATATCAGTCCTGCTTTATTTGTGATGTTTATAATAAACTGACTTTAATAATTAACACTGATTTTATTCATCATTTGTGTTCATAAGTTGTCCTGAAGTGTGATTGTAGAGATGTGTTGATGTTGATGTTTTGGCTGATTGTTGTTCATATTTAAATCATCAGCACATCAGCTCCAGATTGAGAAAGGCCAATATAACAGATCAATATATACTGAAGTATGGAGTTGTGTAATGTCTGCTGCATAATCCTCTCTGTAAAACAACACAGAAATTGGCCAAACTAAATGAGAGAAGTGTTGTGTTGAGAACACTGATATAGAGAGTTTTCCTCTGCTCATGTTGATGACAGTGATCTACTTTTCACAGCAGTGTCTGTTCAGTTGCTCATTTCCTCTTTAAATGCAGATCGTCTTGTTCTTTGTTTAATCATCAGTTGTTCATTATGGAGTATTTGTGTTTATAAATGCAGATTGTGATGGTTTTGTTTAATAAAGAACTGTTAAACGTCTTTTCTGAGTTTTTTAATGTGTTTTTATAATGAATAAACAGCAGTTGCGTCTCTTTCCTTTATCTCAGGCTGTTGAGGATTGAAGATTCTGAAATGTTTGATTATTTTGACACCTCGGCTACAGGCCTAAGGCAGCAATCTAGCTTCTTCCTCCCATCCAGCTACTGACCAGGCACAGCCCTGCTTAGCTTCAGTGGGCGACCATGTGAGAGTTACAGAGAGGAAGCTGCCGGCACAGAGCTCACTGCTATCATACATAATTCTGCATAAATAGTTTAATTAATTAATTTAAATGGCAGAAAATGATCACCTACAATTCATAAGAGCATTACAAGACATTTTTAAAAATAAATACGCTACTTATTTTTGGACTGTTGTGGGTTTATTTCTGCATTAGACTGTCCTCTAGTGGCGGAGTTTATTATATGACGCACACAGGAAGTGTCAGAGCTGAGAGGAATCGAAAGTAAACTCAAAAACCGAAAGTAATAGTCGGTGTTGGGTGTGTTGTGTCGGTGTCTCTCTCTGTCTGTGAGTGTGAGCAGTAAAATGGCAGAATCCAGTCTTTCTTTGGCTCATCATTTCAGCTGTTCGGTGTGTCTGGATCTCCTGAAGGATCCAGTCTCCATTCCCTGTGGACACAGTTACTGTATGAGCTGCATCACAGACTGCTGGAATCAGGAGGATCAGAAGAGAGTCTACAGCTGCCCTCAGTGCAGACAGACCTTCTGCCCCAGACCCGCTTTAGCTAAAAACACCATGCTGGCTGAAGTGCTGGAGAAACTGCAGAAGAGCAAACTACAAGCTGCTGGTCCTGCTCAGAGTCCCGCTGCATCTGGAGATGTGGAGTGTGACGTCTGTACTGGAGCCAAAAACAGAGCCGTCAAGTCCTGTCTGGTGTGTCTGAACTCTTACTGTCACACTCATTTTCAGCGACATCAAGAACTGAATCCAGGAAATCAACACAAAGTGACTGAAGCCACTCACAAACTGCAGGAGATGATCTGTCCTCAACACAAGAAACTCCTGGAGATCTTCTGCCGCACTGATCACTGCTGTATATGTTATCTGTGTATGGTGGATCAACACAAACACCATGACACTGTTTCAGCTGCAGCAGAGAGGACTGAACTAGAGGTAAGAACACACTTGAGCCCAATAATCAGTGTTGGGCAAGCTACTTGACAAATGTAGTGAGCTAAGCTATTAGCTACTCTACTTAAAATGTAGCTTAACACTAAAGCTACACCCTGGGAAATGTAGCAAGCTAAGCTAAAAGCTACATGGCAAAAGTAGCGTAGCTACATCTAAGCTATTTTTGCTATTTTTATTTTTAAATCAAAGCAAGCTAAATCCAAGTCAACCATATCTTAGTGATTATTAAAACTGTCAATGAACCATTTGAGGCAGAATAGTTCAGTTCAATTATTTACTGTAAATAGTATGCTGTACTAAAAAGAAACAAATTATAGTATATAGCAGCACAAACTAAAGCAGTTGTTACACTTTTAAAATACTATAGTAATTTATAGAAAAGGGAAATATTTTGACATAAGCATTATGCATATATATATATATATATATATATATATATATATATATATATATATATATATATTTACAACTCTTCATTAATAAATTACACTACATAATGCAGTAATTTATAGAAGTACTTACTATAAATTACTAAAGTATTTTTTGAGCACAGTATCAGAAATTAAGTTATTGCATCTTAACATGTACTTTTTGAGGTATGGTCATGAAAAAATCCTACTTCAGTTCAGAAATAACTCTCCCTCCGTCATCTTTCCATCAAGCAAGTTTCTTGTGTTAGCCTAATTTGCAATAGTATGATCCTGCACAACTGGAGTAGCTGCACTCTCAGGACCGCATTTTTAGGACCGCGTTTTTAGGACCCTAGTTTTTTGCGGAAGCGCCACCTACCGGATTGGATGACATAGTGAAACTGCATTTCTAGGACCCGTTTTCAGGCACTTTTTTCCAGAGGTTAAAGTGTAAAACGCCTGCTTTAAATAACAATTTTAAAATGAAACAAATGAATTTACACCTAAAATATAAATGAATAAATAGAGTTGAGTGCCTTAAAAGTCTTAAATTCCTTGAAAAATACTGTATATTGATGAACCCCATTACATTGAACTAATTGGCTCAGTATTAGGGAAAATAAATTGAAATCAAATGGGATCAGCATTTGCAGTTACTAATTTAATACCAGGTTGTAAAGGTTTTAGAGGGTCAAGACACAAGAATGATTCAAGAATGTACATTTATATAAATATCCACACAGTCTTTCTGTATTAATGCAATTCAACCACAAAAATGACCCCACTGTTTATTCAGTTGCTGCATTCAATTTTTTATTCCTGTGAATGAGAGAGAAGAAGAGAGTTCAAGTATATGTATGTATGTATGTATATATATATATATATATATATATATATATATATATATATATATATATATATATATATATATGTATATATGTATACATACATACACACAGTAGGGTAAATAAATATTCAACACGTTTCTAATTGTCTCAGAAAACATATTTCTAAAGGTGCTATTGACCTGAAAACCAAAGAAAAAAATATATGAATAGAAAACAAATCTAATTACTTTATAAATTGTTATCAACATCTGGTGAAAATTTCATGTCAACAGCACCTTTATAAATATGTTTTCTGAGAAAAATGGAAACGTGTTGAATATTCAATTCAATTTCAATTAATTTTATCTTTATTTCTAAAGCACTTTTACAATGTAGATTGTGTCAAAGCAGCTTAACATTTATTAAATTCAGTTCAGTTCAGTGTGGTTTAGTTTTCACTGCTGAAAGTCCAAACACTGAAAAGCAAATCCATCGATGCACAGTTCCACAAGTCCTAAACCAAGCAAACCAATGGCGACAGTGGAGGAACAAAACTTTACCAATTGATGAAAGTGAAGGAATAAACCTTGAGAGAAACCAGGCTCAGTTGGGCACAACCATTTCTCTTCTGGCCACACTTCACGTGCAGAGCTGCAGTCTAAGCGCTGGAGGCTGAAGAACACTGGGCGTCCATCGTGGAGAAGCTGCTGGTGTGAGTAGGGCACCAGCGGGTTTTCAGGCTGGACCACAGGATCAATGTGGGCACTCATCTGTCACTGGGGTCTTTCATTAATCAGTATCATGCTCTCCACTTCTCCATGACCACCACTGCATCTGCTCGTGATGCGGTCTGGTCCAGGATTATGGATACATCTAGAAGTCCTCTATGGTGGCATCATCTCTTCACAGGTCACGATCTCTAGAGGCCTCTAGATAAATATCCCCAGGTGGAAATAGGGAACAAAGAAAATAATTAGCGCAGCTGCTGTTCATAGTGTATTTAAACAAAAGATATTAAATATCAAGACAAAAATGAAGTGCTATGAGATAAATTAGCAGATTTATAAATAAACATGAAACGCACATGATTATTTATAACAAAATGTCTTGTGCATTAAGACAGCAAGAGTGTGTCCTCCAGGTGGTTTGTCAATCCCACTCACCCGCATAGAGCACATGGGGCAGCACAGTGGTTAGCACCGTCGCCTCACAGCAAGAAGGTTGCTGGTTCAAGCCCCGGCTGGGCCAGTGGTCATTTCTGTGTGGAGTTTGCATGTTCTCCCCATGTTCAAGTATATAAGTGTAAATGGGTGTTTCCCAGTACTGGGTTGCGGCTGGAAGGGTATCCACTGTGTAAAACATATGCTGCATAAGTTGGCGGTTCATTCTGCTGTGGCAACCCCTGATAAATAAAGGGACTAAGTCGAAAAGAAAAATGAATGTATATAGATATTCTTGAATATGTAAAATCATGTATATAAACTCAAAAGGTTAATCAATTGTTATGCAATTAAATTTAGATAAATATTTAATATAAGTGGTATAATAACAAACATTTGCTTTACAGTGTTAGCTATAATATATATATATACACACACACACACACACACACACACATATATACACACACAGATATATATATATATATATATATATATATATATATATATGCACTGTTGGGAGAACCAAACAGGAAACCTTACTGCTGACTCCATATTGTTTAGTATATAAGAGCAATACCCACCTATTAAATGGTCTCTCTTCTTTTGTCAGTTGTTTGTCAATCTGTCTGTTAAATTCTTTTACTTCACTGCAATAGAGAACAATCACTGTTGAGTTAACATATATACCAGTAACAAAAAGGCTCTTTGAGCATTGTGCAAAATTAACCATATTCTGACCTGTAATGATAACCGTTACCAGAAAGAAAGACCTGCTCAGCATCATCCAAAGACAAGCTCCTCAAGACACCCAGAGCATGTACGATGTCCTATGAAAAAAATAAAATAAAATCATTTAAATATGGACTAAAATACCACCACAGAACAGCAAATCATTTTACATGGGTTCATAAATGAGTAGCACCCAGCATGCAGTTTATATACTTATTTGGCCAGACATTCCTCTGGAAAATGAACACCACAGATAAGCTGCACTTCATCATAGATATGCTATAAACTCAAGAACACAGCTAGCATTTGTAACTGTATTTATAAACTGCTTATCAATGTCTATTAAATGTAGAGTTAATGCTAAACAAATAAAATATTAATAAATTAACTAGTTATTAAATGCTTAATAAATTATTTATAGTATGCAGATGTTATAAAGTGTAACTCAACAGTTTGCGATAACCTCAATGAAAATATTCCTGTAGTTTGTTTTCTTTTCTTCCTACAATGGGCCTAGGCAATCCAATCATATTGGCCATCACTTCTTATTCGCCAGGTAAAACATACCTGATATACATTAAAGATATGAGACTTTATATGGTTAAGGCCTGCAGAATAAGCCTAACTTTTAAAACCGTCAAACATCTCATTCATCACTGTAAAACGATGACAAAACATCAGGCTAATAACACATTGTGGGGCTAACAGGCAGTCAGCACAATTTTTAATGTGCTAATGTAATACAACGTTGAGTAATGGTTTTTACACGAATATAGCAAAATATAGATAAATCTGAAACTCTCACATCAACGTGCTTTTACCATCTTAGTTTAATGCATGTGTCACTAAGCGTATTAGACCGCCGTTAAGTCAACAAGCCTAAATCAACAATGTTTCAATAAACCATTGTCACGAACTACGATCGTCGTAGCATTTAATCAAACTAAAAAACGAACTCTAGAAAATTATTAACAGTTATAGCAGCTCTTACTCTGGCTGTGTAAAATTATCCATAATTATTATTATCATATTTTATTCTTCTGGAAAAAAAAACTCGTCACGTAACATTTTTGTCCCAGTCCCCAGACCCTTGGGGTAAATCATGCAGGCTAATCTGGCATTTCTGCATAACTTTACAGTATAAAACAGCAGCATTACAAAATAAACACATACTTTAACAGTTTAAAATAAAACTTAATAGAAAATCGGTACTTACACTTACCTTGTCATCCGTGTCGTCCATTAGCGCATCCTTGATCCAATCCGACAGTTGGCGCTGTCACAAAAAAATAGGCTCCTAAAGATGCGGTCCTAAAAATGCGGTCCTGAGAGTGCAGCCACTCCAGTTGTGCAGGATTACCCTTCTCCTAATTTGGTTGACAACGTCACCGACCAGAGGTGGCAGTAACGCACCAAAAAGTTTGTTGTAAACAGGAAGAAGAAGAAATTATCATGCTCGCTATCATATGGATTTACTTTCATCAGCCAAACACCGACCTCACAGCTCTGTGAATGTCGGTGCCGTCGCTTATTGATCCACGATTGGTAATTGTAGCTTTATGGACGCTGCTGCGCTACTTGACTAATAAAATACCTTCACTACTGAAAAGCTATTTGATTTAGAAAGTAGCGACGCTACTGCCCAACACTGCCAATAATTAATAATAATAAATAATAAATGTTCCTTTAAATACATCTGGCTGTCAGTCTCATTTCCTAAATGGCCACAGAATTGTTCTGTTGACTTCAATTGCGTAACGCTCCTGATCCAGGTAAACCAGTCTGAAAGCCACGGTTATGTGAATAAAACTAAACCCGTCGAACTGAGTTATGCAGTCAATCATATATATGTGTGTGTGTGTGTGTGTGTGTGTGTGTGTGTGTGTGTGTGTGTGTGTGTGTGTGTGTGATTATCCTCTCGAGTTCTGTCAGGTTGGATGGTAAACATTGGTATTCAGCCATTTTTAGATTTTTCCAGAGATGATCAATTGGGTTTAGGTCAGGGCTCTGTCTGGACCATCACAGAGTTGTTGTGAAGCCACTCCTTCATTATTTAGCTGTGTTCTTATGGTCATTGTCTTTTTGGAAGGTAAACCTTCTGCCCAGTTTGAGGTCCGGAGCGCTCTGGAGAAGGTTTTAGTCCAGAATATCTGAATATCAGAACTGCCATTGACTTAACACTGGACCAGAATTTGTGATGTGTTCTGCTCATTTTACTAAGTCTAACCATCTGCATATAAAACTGACCTTTTAGCTTTCTTTAGCTTTAGCATAGACATAGACATCTGTTGTGAAGGAATGATATGAATATCAGTGGATCAGCATTGAAGACACCTGAGAGTTGCTGTTTGGACTCAGATGATCAAGAACTCTTTCAACATCACCCTGGAGAGCCATTCATTTACACCAGCCTACCAATCCAGACCTGAAGCACTTCTTTAAATCTGAATGACATACAGACACAGAGCTTGCTATGCCAAATCACTCCCTAGCAACAAAACAGTCTACCCTAGCAACCATTTAAAAAGCTCAATATCTCTAGCTCAGAACATCTTATAGACACACAGGACTCGACTACCTTCACTCGTTCTAGCAAACAGTGTTTTATTCATGCTAGCAATGAAGAGAAACCAGAATTAGCCAAGTGCTAAAATGTAATTACTGCTCACTTAAACTACTTTAAATATATTATTTATACTTTTAAAATGGTTTATATGAGATCTTTCAGATTTCTATCAAGCTACAAGAGATGTTTAGCTCCACACAATTCCTTAAAGCACCATTATTGACAGAATTGATGCATAAATTACAATAAACTACACTCAGACTCTTTACATAGAGATAATTAACAGCGACACATTAACTGTCTTATATTTATCTGTTGGTAGTTTGATTGCATCATTCATTATTTGTCTAATTATATATAATAATCCACTTTGCTTTAAACCCTGCAGAGTCGGCTGAGGGAAACCCAGAGCAGATTCCAGCAGAGACTCCAGGAGAGACAGAAGGAGCTGGAGGAGCTGAGAGAGGCTGTGGAGTCTCACAAGGTGAGTTTGAGCAGAAGAACAGCAGCTGAAGAGGCCTTTCACACTCCAATGCTTCTGTGTGTGTGTGTGTGTGTGTGTGTGTGTGTGTGTGTGTGTGTGTGTGTGTGTGTGTGTGTGTGTGTGTGTGTGTGACAGCGCTCTGCACAGGCCGCAGTGGACCACACCGAGAGGATCTTCACTCAGCTCATCTGCTGGATTGAGAGAAGCCGCTCGGAGCTCACGCAGATGATCAGAGATGGAGAAAAGACTGCAGTGAGTGGAGCTGAAGAACGACTGGAGCGACTGGAGCAGGAGATCAATGATCTGAGGAGGAGAAACGCTGAGCTGGAGCAGCTTTCACACACAGAAGATCACATCCATTTCCTCCAGGTGACACACAGGACAGTGGAAGAGCATGTGGAGCAGAGATTGTGTTTGTGTGTCTTCAGCTGCTGTTTCTGTTGTGTCTGTGTAGAGTTTGCAGTCTCTCTCTGTCCCTCCTGGATCTACAGACTCATCCAGCTTTATTAGCAGCTCGCAGCTCGCTTTTGATCAACTTGCTGAATCTGTGTCTCGTCTGAGAGACAAACTGCAGCAGTTCTGCACTGAGGAGATGAAGACCATATCTAGCAGAGGTCAGATTTATATTTCCTGACATGTTTCAGATGCTTTTAAATGTTTTTGTATTGTTTAACAATGTCTACTGTAAATCATCTGTTTGTCTCCACAGTGAGCAGCATTAGCAGGATTCCCGCTCCTGAACCACAGACCCGTGAGCAGTTCCTCCAGTGTAAGTGACTCTGATCATACTGAACATTAAAGATTATAGTTATATATTGTGTTGGATTCCTTCATATGAGGCAGAGGCTCTGATGGCTGTAATGTGTTTTATTCTGGAACCAGCAGAAACAGTGAAAACTAGAAGTAAACACACAAATCAGCACAAAGCAGATTGATAATGAACTCTGACACCTTTACAGTTCATGATCAGGCGTTTGTGTACAGTGAACAGTAGATGAGCTGTGTAAAGTCACAGATAAACAATAATTGGCTCAGTTAACAGTTTCAAAACAAAACTTACACACCTCACTCCGCTCACCAAGGGCTGCTACAGTAGCTTTAACACGTGTAGTGATGTTCACCTGGCTAAACAGCACACACACACACACACACACACACATGTAAACAGGAGACAGTAAAACACACACGCTTATAATGCTCATCATCACGATTGCAGGACTTGCATTAACCAGCATATGTCACTGGAATATATCACTGAGCTCCTGAGACGAGAGCGTTCTGATGAGTGAGATGTTGTGTGAGGTTTCGGGGTTTTGCTCAAAGCCATTAACCTGAATGAGCTGACTGAGAATGAAACACCTATAATGAGCTCTTGTGGCTGTTTCCATATATTCTTATCATATATCATCAATCAGACTGAACTGTGCTGAACTGCTCAAATCAACCCTGATCTACATTAAACACACTGAACTCTACAGAATCAGCAGCTCTAGATATAATCACACAGCTAGTTTATCTTACTGGGTTAGTTAAAGTCTCATTTATTCAACTCTGTGTAGAAACCTTCCTAAGACACCTTTAGATTTGTTTGCAGGAGGAAAATGACACCTGAAACTCTTCATCACTTGCTGTCTTCAGTCTCTAAACGTCTTTAAGTGTTGTGAAAAGGAACGGCAACATTACAGACTGATAAATGCTTTACTGATACAACTTTATTTAAATGTGTTGCAGGAACAGAAATTGGTGATTAATAATAAAAGTCATGAGGAACACATTAAATCAGGATTATTTTATCATCTGCAGTGAAATACAAGTCAAAGAACATTTAGAAATCTCCACTTTCCTGATTCGCCTTTTCTATACTGTCCCAGTGTGTTCTGGTTTGGGGTTGAACATGTACTGAAACATTCATAGTTCCTATTCGGTTGGGGAACTTTAGTGCTATAAGTGGATTTGATCTTGGAAAATACACGTATGGGAGGACTCGGTTCAGAAGCTGCTTGTCTGAAAGAGTATTGAACGGGCCAATGAAGCAATGAATTGGCAGCGTAAGCTTGCACAGGTGTGCTTCATTGCCAATTATCCCAGCATATAAGCACACCTGGAGCGAGCAAACGGCATCCTTTTCCCTTCAGAAACTTTCTGATCGAGTCGATGAGGGTTCCTCCTGCTGTGATCCAGCGATTCCGAGCGAACGAGAGCATTCTCCCGGTCCAGAGTGTGTACACGCAGCGGCAGACGGTCGAGCTGGGTTTCTCCCTTGCCTGGCGTTCTTTGGGTCCGGTCCTCCAGAGCGGTGCGTATAAAGTTGCAACTTCACAAAGAGAGCAACACAGTCGTGCAGCATGTCCTTTTCAGGACGGCGCTCCGACTGTGCTTTTCTGGATGCGGTGGTTTACTGTCCTCGGATGATGGGCACGGGCACTGCGTTGCCTGCCTGGGGGGTTCAGCATGTTAATGCGCTGCTCGCGGGCAGTTCATGTCATCATTGCGATGTCATGACTGTTGAGTAGTAAAGATCACGGCTAGCCTTTGCAAAAGGGCAAACCACCCCAGTTGTCCCCTGCTCTGCAGCGGGCACTCGGGCAGATCTGAGGGTTCAGCGAGAGATAATTCGTCGCCCATGGGCCCGCGGACCTCCCGCTCCTCCTAACGCAACATCCAAGATTCAGGCGGGGGAAGCGATCCGTCTAACAGATGGTAGCCTTTACGCTCGATGACACCGGAGACCAGACATCCACCGCGGCATCAGAGGGTGGGCTTTCATTGTCCGATGATGATCCAGACCCGCTCGCCCCCTCCAGGCAGGTGAGCGCTGTCAAAACGCATCCTGAAACGGACATGTTAGCCGTGCTTTCCCGGGCTGCTTACGACTAGAGGGGCGTCCCCTTCTTCCCGGAGGTGCACAGTAGGCTCACACGGTCTTGAAGGGCACTTTTTTCTGCTTGTGCTGCGTGTCCCTCCACCCTCACCACTCTTGACGGTGGAACGGCCAGGGGGTATGTGGCGATTCCTCAGGTTGAGTGCACGATGGCGGTCAATCCGCGCGGTGCCTCTTCTTGGCGGGGTCCGCCTCGTCTCCCATCCAAAGCCTGTAAGCACCACTCCTGGCTGATATGCGCGAAGTCGACAAAGTCCGCTTTCTTGACTTCCCCATATCCCAAGCTGGCATGTTTGGCGACACCGTCTGAGAATTCACCCAGGAATTCGAGGCGGTGAGAGAGCAGTCTGATGGGTGATGTCTTATCTGTGGGTCCGTAAGACCGCTCCGCCCGCCATGTTATCCATATCTGCATCTCGCCGAAGGCGCCCGCCTACGAGAGCTGCACCGCCC